CAGAAAATACTTGCAGTGAAATGGCTCCAGAAGTTCCTTGCAGTTCAGCACTCTCTGGACTTCACTAGTGTACTCAAAGAATTGTCTTAAGTGGTATTTCTGCTTCAGTTTAAACTTTCCCAGAGAGATCAGACAGTGAAAGCTTGGAATAAGAAACAAATACAAAAGTATCTTTTTAAATACAAACATATCAACCTCTATGGCTGGAAAATGGGTTTATTTAAGGAGAAAAGTCATTCTCTGTATTGTTGATTCAGATACACTGGCATACTTACAGGTTTTGCAACAACCATTAGGTAAGAATGTAATAGTACCCTAAAAGAACAAAGAAACAGGAAAAATAATATTATTTTCTTTCCCCGTATTAAAGAGGCTTTTAGGCCACTAACTGAGGAGAGCAATTCCTCAATGGCTGAAAACAACCAGTGAAAACTGTAACATTGTTCTGAATAAACAAAGATAATGATCTCTTCCAGACTTGAAATCTATCAGTTTACAAAGGATTGTGGAAATAAAGATAATGCTTTGAAGGAAGTCTACAGTTAACATCATGCAATTTTTCCTCAGAAACAATTAAAAAAAAGTGTTTTCTCAGAGACTTCTATATTTGAATAGGGAGTATGCATGGTGTTACTGGCAGCCTACTGACTGAACAGGTGTTGTTTCTGTAATGTTCAAGAAAACATGGTTCTTGTTCAGAAAGGACCCTGCACAAAGCAGGACTTCGTATCTCAGTGCTGACTGGTGTTTTGGTTACCAAGAGCTGCCAGTTTATAAGCCTTGAACTCTCACCCAGATATCTTATTTTATACAATCTAGAGGTCTGTGCATAGATGCAGCAGGAACTTTTGCCCTTGGGACTGAAAAACTTTGGTGAAAGGTCATCAGAGCTTAATTTGACTTTTGTTGCTAGTTTGGTGGCTGAACTAAGCTGAAGTAATCTATGCATTGAGTAGAGGGTAAGTTTTCCATATTTACTTACAGGTTTGCAGCTCTCCTCATTGAATGCTGGGCAGGTAATCTCAGACGTGGAAGAGATAAGCTGGTTGTGGATATTTACACAGCTATAAATGGTGCAGTTGTCGTAAGGATCATTTTTAAACTCTCCAGGCTGCAAGCGAAATACAGAATGTAATAAGGAAAGCTGAAGGGACCTCAGACAGAAATTTTGTTGTCCTCTGACAATGACTTTCCTCTTGTTTCCCAGCCAATTATTTTTAGGTTAACAGCCATTTTGGATACAGGTTATTACATGTACTGCAGTATGCCATACGTGGAGAATTTCAGTTTTACATGGGATTTCCCTTGGAAAAGAAAAATCCCTCTAAAGTATGTAGAGTACATTAGAGTTATTAACAAAATCATCCATGCCAATGGATTTTGCCTAGGGAAAGCTAAACTGTTGCACGGTAATTAAGAACAACCCTAAACTTTCACCCTACAGGAACAATAATATTGTTTCATATGCAGCCTTTACTAGTGTTTTTCAGTACACAGAAATCAAATAATATAGAAAAGCCCAAGTTTCCAGACATCACAAGAAAAACCCTTCCAACGGTATTGGATTTGTCATTCCAGGAAGAACCTTCCAGAAAATTTCATTTCATGATTCCTTCCTTCAGGCCAAAAAATTGTAGATAGGGTTTGCTTTAGGTGAGCCTCTGACCTTTCAGGTGCACATTTGCACTAAGCCTTGTCTCTGAGAAGATGTTCCGTCTCTGAAAGGGGGAACTTTACAAATTGGGTAGAGATGTAAGATGTAGAGCATACTTACACTCAAGATGAAGTCAGAGTTGTTTGCTGTATGTATAACACACTTAGTCTGCACACATCTTCCACAACATTCACCTTTCACTGGTTGATGATCATATCCCTAGATAGTAAAATTAATTAAAAATAAAAGCACTATGATAGATGCATATTTGAGAAATAAAGGAAAACATACTAACCCACTAATTGATTATGCTTTGAAGTGCACTCTAGATTTGTGCCTTTCTGTGCCCTTCTGCGTTCCAACCCAACAGAATACAAGTACAGGCTATAGATTTAACAAATTAAAGCACTATAATAAATATGCCTAATAATTAAATATCACTCTATTAAGTGCTCTACGAAATCTCCCAGCTAATCCTCCCAATGCGAACTGAATACTCTAAGTTACACAGTCAAGCTTTGAGGAATAGATTGCTCAAGGACAGTTGGTATCTACGCTGGAGTTGGACTCTGGATTTCTGCTCCCTGTTCTTTGCTTATAACACTCATTGATCAAACTGCTTTTCATGTACATGGGTATTTTAGGGGGTTTTTATGTTTGTTTTAAGTTTGTCACTTACTGGTTCACAATATGTGTTGCATGGAATATGTTCACATGAGATGATATTCAGTTGAGTGCTGATGTTAACTTCGTTAGTGCAGAAACAATTCTGACACTTATCAACAAAGACTGAGGAATTAGGCTACAAATTTTTAGAAAAAAAAGGTTCATATATTAATGAGATACGACATGTGTGACAGACATTTCGTAATTTTAAAAAATCTGTAAACCAAGCAATGGAAAAGGAAACAATCATAGCTATTGCATAGCTATTTGGCTAGCCATTTATGAAGACAACATTTTAAATACTGAATTTAATTCAGCATATGTCTTTACTGAAGTCCTATATAGCAATGATGAACTTGGATATTAAAAAGACAGGTGTCATACAAATATCTGCAATAAAACAATTACTAGACCCAACGGAATTTATTAGGAATCTGTTTAGAATAATATTTATTTACAAATATTTTCATTTTTGAAAGCAGAGTCTTAAAACTGCAATAATGTGCTGACAGTAGATGTGGAGTGACTTCTTAAAATGCATGCACACGTAACTCTAAACCCAAATCTCTCTCTGATACTGACATATGAACAACTCTTCAGTCTCTTTCATACATAGCAACCTTTTCAGACAAGATTTAGGCTTTGCAAAATTGATGAACTCCTGACAAGAATTTGAAAATTTCTATAATATTGATTGTACCAGATAAACCTCCTCATAGTACTTCTGATAAAGTACACTAACTGGTCTTTTAAGCATTGTCAGAAGACTGTTGAAATAGGAACTTACCAAGAACTCAGCATTCTGATGTACACAAACCCTCTTGGGAACTGTTAACAAGCAAGGAGTTAGGTGGTTACATACAGGGAAAAAAAGAGTTTTCATCCCACTCTAGTCAAACACATTTCTTACACAATGAATCACAATGCATATGGTCAAATACATTGGTTATTCCCCATTTCTGGTAGCATATATATATATATATGACATATATAAAGTATAAGAACAAATACTGCATGTGCAAAAAGGGAGGAAGATTTGGCCCAATAGATGCAGCACAGTTCATAGCAAAGAAAGTCCACTTAACAGGTACAAATAGTTCTTGTTTCAGTTACCAAAAGCAAAGCAGACTTTGTAGAGCTATTTGGGGATGCTTACAGGGATATTTTGCTAGACTAAGCTGAGACCACAGTCCCAGTTAATTCTGTAGCTGTTCTTACATGTACTTACAACCAGGAAAATTGAACTTGAGCTACCTGAGCTATACCTGATTTCATAGTTGTTCGTAATAACCATGGCAATAGTAACCAATGATAATAGTAACCAATTTGTAGAATCTGACTGTGTTTATCACCTCTTTCAATAGGCTATTGCAAACAGTCTTAAGTGTGATGCTAAATTATGTAATGTATAATGCCAGTCATTGTAATATATTTCCAAGGGACTTACCACACTGGTACACAGGACAGCACTGACCACTGGGAATATGAGAATGAACTTCAAATCCCAGTGTACACTTGGGGGCTTTAGTTGTGCACAAGCTTGCATTGCATTCTGAAAAAAAAGGAATAACCCAGAAAGTATGTGGCTACTAGAAATAGGCATCCATCAATGCATATAGGATAGACTTTCCATTGCTAGGAAACAGTCTAGATCCTCTCCAAAGAAACAAGTTGCAGAAAGAGAACACATTTTTCCTGGTGAATCCAGGCACTGACTGGGGGACTGCACTAGTTTATGAAACTTTTTCTACTATGTAATTACCAAGTGTTAAAAAATTACCACAATTCTTTGCAGAGAAGTAGTGGACAACTATTACTCTCTCTGAGGTTGCAGGCAACTGCCACAAAATGAAAACCCACATAGAATTCCATAATCTATCTGCATTTTCTTTGAATAAAATGTGGTCCTGTACTCAAGAACTACCAATTCAGTTATGTTGAGTCCCATAATTGTAAATTCAGTTATGCTGAGTCATTGCAATATTAAAACGTATTTTCCTTAACATTGGGCAAGCTGATTTTAAAAAGCATGAGGAAAGACACTATTTTGTGACTCCCTGCTGCAGGTCTCTGGTGCTAAACTAGTTCAGTTCTCTTTTCCTTTCTATTCCTAAAAGGTATAGAAAGACTAAAAACAAAAGTATAAACTCACTGCAGGTGACAATAGGACAGCAGGAGTCTTCAGAATTGACTTCAGTGACCTCATAGAGGCCTTCTCCATCACAACTGGTCTTGTGTTGTTTGACACATTCATGAGGCTGACATACAATGCCATTTCCACCTTCCAGGCAAATACAGTCCTGACAGTTTACTGTAAACTTTTCCCCAAACTGTCATTAAAAAGAAATAAAGTGAGTAATTGCATGGTTACCAATTAAAAAGAACAGAAGTAAAAACAGGAATGAAAAGTTGGGAGACCACAAAAGAAGACTGCACCAGTGGAGACCACTCTCCTCTCCCCACCCCCAGCCTCTACTTGAAATGCAAAAGCATATGGCAGCATACCTCCCTTGGTATCTTATCCACTCCAACACAGCCTGTGAAAATATCAAAATAAATTTCCATTACGACTCATATAACAGTAGACATCTCTACTATATGTTGTATGAGTACTGCATACAGTCAGATCCATGTTGCATACATGAGAAGGAAACAACAAAGAGGAAAGAAACATGCATCCAAGTGAAGCAGTAAAACTCACCACAGGTTTTCACACAGACATCCACACCAGAGTCATACAGCATTGTTCCATTAGGACAGAAACAGCCTTCCACTCGTTTAGTTGAAGTTTTGTTTTGTTGACTGTATGAGAGAAAATGTTCAGAGGAACACCATTACTGTCATAGGCATGCAGAGGAAGATTATGTCAAAAACCTTTCATTGAAGATACAATGGCAAATGATCTGCACGTTTGTGATCTCTAGATTGTCAATGTTCATGTTTGGCATAGCCAAAAAACATAAACTGTACAGGCACACAGATTTAGGATAAAGAGAACAGCAGTGCCAAATGTGACAGTCATTTTAAGACATGACAGGAGGTTGATTTCTCTCCTCCACTTATGCACTAGATATGACTGAACAGTTGTATGAGCTATAACTAATAGTGAAGGAATTAGTTACCTTGATTTGCAGGTTTCCACTTCAATAGGACCACATGCTCTGTATTCTTTATCTGAAGGGCATTTATAAGCTGGAATGGGAGAACAAAAAAGAGTAAGAGCTCAGTAACAATATCATATAAAAGCCCCATGACCTTATGCCAAGAAATTAAACACTGACTACTCATTTTCCTATGTATCTTTGACAATCTTGAGAAGCAAAGAGGAAAAAAAAAGGAGATATCAGACTCATATCTCTGAATGGAATTATTTTATGCAATTTAGCCATAGAGATAGAGCACCATACTTTACATTAAGGAGATAAAGCCAAGAGTCTACATCTTGATTACAACTTTTTTCATAATTTCAGTCTCTTTTGCATAAGTTCTCAAAGGGGAGTGTATTCCCACCCTCTGTCCTCTTCTTACTACAGCTGAAAATGAATGTATATGTCACTAAATACAGAGTGATCTGCTGATGGCTGCAAAAGACAAAACTGCAAGTGTACAAAAAAGTATCTACTGATACAGATGTTTCTGGCACAGTCAATAGATGTATATTTTTGCAGGCTCATTTATCATTTCCATTGTTAAAAATGTTACCTGTAAAATTACTTAAGGAAAGCAGCTCGTGATTTATTGGTGTCTTCATTGCTCAGAAAGCAATATGACTTACTGTCAGGACATTATTGCTGAAACAGTTCCATATAAGCTTCCATAACAGTTCAAGATAAATGGCCAAATACTTACAGCAAACACCATTGGTATGACTTCTCCAGTCAATGCATACATTTTGATCAGCACAGGTGGTAGCATAGATCTGCAGACTTGAGCATTCCAGGTCTAAGTTGGGAAGTACACAACTATCAAAAACGCAGGCTGCATAGTACTTTTCAGGCCGGACAACGTGATGGCATGGCTTGAATACACTAGAAACAGAAATATTTATCATTAGTTACCCTGTTTTCTGCTAAGTGAGTGTGGGAAAAGGCAAGAGCACAGGACAGTGGAGGGCAGAGAGCATAGAAGAATGTGAGAACATCAAAAAAAGGTTGATGTAGCAGCCAGAAGGTTGGAAACAAACTATCAGCAAAGAATGACATCGAGAACCAGTAACAGGAATGGAAGCAACCCACTAAGCTACAAGAAATGGAGCAATAGTTAGAAACACTTTTTATTGAGAAATTAATCCTAAAATTGCCACTTAATTTGAAGATCAAAGGCTTATAAACCCCAGACGAATGCCTACCTTCCCAAAAGAAGTTCACAGATGGAAGATTCTTTGCAAGGCAGCTTTGGGGTTGTGGTAGGTGGTCCTGTAGGATTTAGGCCTGGAGAGCACTGTGGTTTGGAGGGATCAACAACTTGCCAATGATCTGCCATGGTTTCACAGTTTTCTGCAATGTTTCCATTTGGCAACATGCAGTCATCTGACGTGTTGTTATTGCAAACACCTAGAATTGGTAAGGGGAGAAAGAATTCACTCACAGATTTGTTACCAAATTCCATTCATCTTTGTGGCAGGGTTGTCATTTACCTGTCTGTTGTTTTCCGAGAGTACAAAAATTACAAGAGTAAGCCTTACCACACTGTCCATGAGTGTTGTTGCCAAACCGGCTGTAGGCCATTCTGATAGAAAAGGACAAGCCATTGTAGGTCACATTCATTTTTAGTTCAGGAATTTCCACTACACGATTTATGCCTGACTCATAGATGCTCAAGCCAAATTTTTTATAAGGCAAAGCCACTGCCTGTTTGTTTACTGTCACCTAATAAATAAAACAGAAAAGAGACATATATTTAGTTTGACTTTAGAAAACAATTGACTGTTCATTACTTTCAATTGGAGATAGAATGTAAAGGCAAATAATGTGCTTTTAGTTTGTAACAGGTGTCTCTGAGCCAAAGAAAAAGTCTATCAGCCACTGATAAACTCGGCTAAAATTCAGAGTTTCAGCTAAATTCTAACACTCCACAGATTTATTAGAGTGACTATGGCATTGAGGACACCCTGTGAAAGTGCAGTATAAAATTCTGCTAAATTCCTAGTGCACACAGTTTTAACTTTCTTGGCGTAAAGGGGACATGCTTGTAGGAAAATTAAATGAAAGAAATAAGCCAAAATCTTCATTATTTATTTAAATACAGTAGCCATGATATACCTATGGAACTAACACTACTACTTTTACTCAACAATGGTAGATTTCCTTGTTTTGAAGGAAAAAATTAGGTCTAAATGTTGCAAATTTTCAACAATATGTTGCAACCTAACTTGTACTATTCCCACACAGTAATGTACAAAAATAAATGAAACAAACCCCACAAAAACCTAAACCAAAAGACTTCTCACCCAATTTTGAAGCCCCAAAGCTGGGGCATCGCGTTTATCAATGAAATAAACACATAAGAGCCCCTATTCTGAAAAACTAAAAAGGTGACACGAATCAAAGCTAGTAATGGTACTTTTAAAAAATGCTTAAGCCCATTACTTTATTGTTATGTCTAGTTTACATTGTATCCTCCCATTCAACATTTATTCTTTTCCTTTGTTACATTAATTATAAACTAATTTATTTTATATCCTTAACTCTTAGCAATTGTCCATATTTGTGTATTTAGGAGAGATAAGTCACTGCAAATATTTGAGATAAAAAAGGTAAGAAGCTGTAGAAATTTTTCCCCCATATTCAGAGTCAAAAAAGCAGTCTTTCAAAGTAGTCCTAGTTTATAATCCAAACCGGTATTAAATCTAAAACACAGATTCTTTTTAAATTTTTTTCCCTAACATTGTGAATATAATTATCACGTTGATGCTGTATTAGTATTTTAATCAAGAAATCAAAAGTAACATTCTCCAGTACCTCTACTTGTAGAGCGTTTTGTTTGACTGTTGCTATGCGCACTTCCTGAGTCTCGTGTCTCACAATGAGTGTTCGAGGACAGGAGACTACATCCCGTGTATCACAGTGGTAGTTATCAATGTAGACACCAAAGTTGTCAACTGTCTTATTAATCTCTTCCACAAGGACATATGTACAATTCCCTTGATAGCTGTAGTACAGTCCATCAAAAGTCATGTAATGTGGGTCGCCCCAGCCAGTGCAGTAGCCTACCAAAACATACAGCTAGGTTAGCTTCTTATGGCAACATACAGAATCAGATCAGATTACAAAAAAAATCTGTACGTGTGTGATTCATCTCATCTAACTTCAAGCATTTAAATTTTTAAAGTGTATATTTCGATGCATGAGCTCATTTTCTAGAACTCATCAATAATAGAGAAAAACAGGCACTTTAAGGGCACAGTTCATCTGACTTATTTCTGATAGACAACTGAGAATAAGATTAACTGCACCCTAGATATACCTTTACCGATAGTCTGAACAAGTAACTTATATTTAGGCTTCTAGCCTATAGATGTCTGCATCTGGACATTTAAATCCTGCCTTGGGAGACCAATTTATTCTACTAACGCAACAGTTATGTAGAAATGATGGCAAATTAAGTAAAATCCCCCAATTAGCTGAAAAGAATCAATGAAGCACTCCAAACAGACCAACACTAGAAGTCTGAGGGTCACAGGCTTGTGTGATAGTAGTCCCCTGATAAATATTTTTGCTCTGGACACTAGTATTGTTCCCACAGGAGATAAAATATGCAACAAAATATATACTTACAATCACACTCCCAGTGCCAACAGCATTGATCCTCATCAATGACTTGCACAGGAGAAAGCCCATTGGCACATGTAGGTTTAGGAGGTGGTTTACAGATTATGGGAAACAGCTCAATTTTATTGTCTTCTATACATACTGCTGTAGTGCAGTTACAGAGCAACCATGACTGACCTGGCTGTGTTTGGAAAGAGAGGGGGAGGAGGAAGAGAGAGAGAAACATTACGAAGCAGTCAGACTGACAACAGTTATGCCTGAATATCTTTTGCAGAGTTTTAAAATGCCATATGTTTATTGACAATTTCTTCCCCACCAGAAGTCTGAAAATGGGAAGGAAGTGCAGCAGTCAGCACCTTCAAGGCCTACAAGGTGAGCTAGCACTACAGAGAGCTGCTAAGTGAAAAGCAGTACTTATAAAAGCCAAGCCAGTAACATGAAGTGGGAATTGCCTTTTTTTAGTTTCATCTATCTAAAAGTTAGATGTCTGATCTAATCTCATCACCTAGAGTCCCTCTCTAATCGACATTGAAAGACACTGATCAGTATCAGTGATCAATATATGATCAATCCCCTTCCATGAATGCCTAGAACAGATTAACAGCTAAAGCTACAGTGAACACCAGCTAATTGGGGAGTAATGTCTAAGGCAATTACATGCATGCATTGTGATTGTGTGCATTTTTTCTATCTTCCACCAGTTTTTTAGCCATGTATAATTTTAATACCTGCATATCTACTGAGCAAGTTGGTAGACATCTAAGCTGTGAGGAGGCTTTAGAAATGTACAAGATATTAGCCTGCCTGTGTCAGAGCCGGAGGGTTCCAAAAAAACTCAGAACTCCTGAGTCAAATTTCACACGCATTTGAATGTGGTGATCTATTTCACAGTCCTCTCCTGAAACCAGACTATGACCAAGTATGACTCGTTCAAAACTCAGACTGGTTCAGCCCTGTGGTTTCTTGTTGGGCTGCACTGTAAACACACAAACAACTTTTCCCCACTCTGGACATATTCAAAAGCAGAAACAGAAAAGATAGCTTAGCACCACTAAGCCCTTGGTTACCTCTTCACCAAAGCTATCCTACAATAAAGAGAAACAATGAGCTGTGATCTAACTCCTTGAAGAAAGCCTTTTTAAAACTATACTTGGAGAACTAAATAGCAGTATATAACCTATCAAATCAGGTATCATTGGAAGTCATGCTGATACACAAGAAAACAGAAAGAAATAGAATGAGCTGATTATTCCCTTTCTATGCACGTTAATACCTACTCTGAACGTTACAAACATTGAACTTATGTGCCTAGTATCCATTGAAAGCAGAATGCTAAAAAAAATCATGAAATGTACTCACTGCGTAAGATTCATTAGGAAAAATAGAACAATTTCTTCCAGAAGGGGTGGGTGGTGGACTTTTAGTGGAACTTGAAGCACTGAATGGAGTAACTGTACTGTACGAAGAACTTCCTGCAATGGTGACTGCGCTTGTTGTTGTAGTTGGCCCATAGGTACTAGTTGAGGCAGGAGGAACAATTTCAGAGGTGGTGGTGGTTGCAGCAATTGCGGTAAAATTACTAGAGGTTGTTCCTGAAGTGGTGGTAAAAGATGCTGTTGGAGTTGTAGCAGACGTGGTGACTGACATGGGGTTGGTTGAGGTGCTGTGGGGAGAGGATCCTGAGGGTGTTGACCCAA